TGATATCGTTAAGTAAATTATGGCTAGATACAAGCGAGTTGGTGGTGGAATCAAGAAGTACAGTGGTAGTTGAGGCTTGAATTGTGTTCGTGGCATCGAGGTAAGTGTTTGGTCTGACCTTAGCTTGAGGAATTAGGAGTCGTGTCTTATTTGCTATGTGTTAATTGTTGGGTACGACGTATAGACATGGTGACGCGTATCTATACGTTGGTGTCAAGCCTGCCCGTGAGTCTTATACTATGACTAATGTGACTCCGTTTTGTGTTGTTCATGCTTTATATGATGATTTTTATTGTTGAATAAGTATTATGGAAGTATTGTTGGTAATTGATCATTGTGGAGCATTGGCTCAAGTTGTAAAATGATTTGTGGAAGTATTATTGGTAATTGAACATTGAAGAGCGTTGTCTCAAGTTGTAAAATAATTTGTGGAAGTATTATTGGTAATTGAACATTGTATAGCGTTGGCTCAAGTTGTGAATTGAGTTGTGAGGTAAATGTGGAAAAGATGAGAGGTTTATGATATTGTCTCCCTTGCCGGGATGTTATTGTTTTTGGTATTGTTTCCCTTGCCGGGATGTTGTTATTCATGATATTGTTTTCCCTTGCCAGAATATTGTTGTTATGCTATTGTTCCCTTGCCGGGATTTCATTGAAATATTATTGATTCCCTTGCCCAAATTGCTTTGTGATTGTTGCTTGGGTGAGGAAGAGTGTAAAGCACAAAGGGTGATGTCATGTATGATTTTTGAGAGTGTTAATGCACGAAGGGTGATGTCATGCCGATATTGTGAGGTTAAAGCACGAAGGGGGATGTCGTGTCGCACGATGTACAATTTCGTGCCATAATATGAGTGATAATGCACGAAGGATCATTCTGTGCCATGATTATGTGAGGTAAAAGTACGAAGGGTGATGCCGTGCCGATATTATTGATTTTATGGTGAGGACGAGAGTAAAAGCACGAAGGGTGATGCCGTGCACTTGTCTTTTATTTCTGATTCTTGTTGATAATTGAACTTTGGTGTTCCTTACATTTATATGTTGTTCTTATGTTATTACTTGATGTTCCATGCAGCATGTTTCCCCCTCCTATCCTTAATTGTACATTTATGCCTTTATTTTTCGTTGTATATGATTTAACTGCACAGGTTTATTTGGTAGTCATGTCCTAGCCTCGTCACTACTTCGCCGAGGTTAGGCTAGGCACTTACCAGCACATGGGATCGGTTGTGCTGATACTACACTCTGCACTGTGTGCAGATCCCGGTGTTGCAGCTTTTGGACCGTAGTGAGGTGGATGTCTTCAGTCCATTCAGGCGACCCGAGGTAGTCCTGTAGGCGTCCGCAGGCCTTGGGGTCTCCTTCTATCATTTCCTTCTCTTTTTACTTATTCACAGACAGACTCGTATATTTCTATTCAAACTTTATTTGTAGTATTCATAGATGGTTTGTGGCATTGTGACACCAAATTCTGGATAGAGTTGTACTTAGACTTCCGCAGTTTATATTAATCTAAATTATCAAAATTTTGTCTTCCGCGCTGTTTTTGTTATTATTATTTCCGTTGTTTTTGTTATGTTGTTTTGGGAATTGTTAAGGATTAAAAATGAAAGTGGCTAAATAATTGGACTAATTGGCTTGTCTAGCTTTCACTAGTAGACGTCATCACGACTCCCGAGGGTGGAAAATCTGGATTGTGACATTAAGGAGAGAACTACTTGAGTTGAATCAGCCTGTAGACTTGAAATTGTCTAGTACATGTCTTGACCACCATTTCAGCACTAAAAGCTTGAGAGCAAGCGGAATTGATCATCATCTCATACCTGATGTCTTATCTTGAGTTTTCATCAATTTGGTCATATTTAAAATACTTCAATGCCATCTTCTGGACTTGTTGGCCCAAGATATTAACTATATCTTGGGCTAACAATAGAAGTAGAAAGTTTCTATGTCGACATTTGTTGAAGAAAGACAACAGTGGAGAAAGATCAAATGTACTTGGAAAGAGTATTTTATAAATGCTTAGATAGAATAAAAGAGAAAGAGAGAAGACAGCTGGGTGCCGCTTGATAGGAAGATGTTGATAGTTAACCCTTGTATCATTAAAGAGATTCATACATTTCGTTTCAAACAAACCTAAGAAAAGGAGAAAATTAATGAATCCACGTCGTCTATTTCAAGGTAATTGTTTGTTGTGTGAAATATATGTATTACTCTATGATATTAATTGATCACATTTTCATTTTCCTATGTACTTGTCATATCTCCTTTTCCTTTGCTAACAGTTATATATGTTATTTGTGCAGTTGCGTACCAAGATGGAGAGCTCATTAAATTGGAGTAATCATTGTAGTTTGGAATTAGATTTCTGTTGCTTGTTTTATTTTCAGTTATTTTCTTTACTCTCGTTGTAGACTTGCTTAGTGATTCGTGGTTTATGTCAATTTAAACTATTTCATTTTCTCCATTGAACCTTGAATGTCTTGCTCAGCAGAGCAGTTTTCCTTTTTTTCTATTTAAGTTATTGGTTAAGGGTCCAGTAGAACCCAGTAATTTAGCCCAGACCCTATTTGTATTAAAACATTTACTAAATATATATAAATAATCTATTCCCATTGTCTTGTCTTGGAGCTTTATAATGACAATCTAGAATCATCTGATATTGCAAATAGAGCGCTTTATACATTTCACGAGTTTGAAGAAATTATATATTCTCATATGATTTGCATAACAAGGTAGTCGTAGAAGAACTTGTGGATGGACTGAATCTTTCACGATTGAAATGCACTAGTGGCGGGCAAGCGAAGGGTCTAAAGGACATGAAGCCGGGGCGAATCCAAAATCAAATTGTTCCAGTTTCTTTTGTATCCATCAATCAAATCGGAATGTAGCTCAGGAGAGTGTATTTATGTTTATTGATGCAGGTCTTAACAAGAAATCAAGGAAAATATTTGTGTTTTTTTGCTGCTGCTTGGGAGACTAGTTTTTCAAGTTGGCTTGTAAATGTTACTAGGTCTTTGTGCGAACTAATAACAAAGTTGAATTATTATTAAAAAGAATATAGAAAATATTACAGCTCTAAATTATATACCAACCAACTTTAACTAACGATATAGATAACCTTGTTTCCGAGTAGAATTAAAGACAACTGCAACTTGGATTAATCTTCTTGGCAATTTAATAATTATCCTTTATTCGTAAGATACATCAAGTGTTACTACATATTTAACTTATTTTTTTGCTTTTAGTTTTATTTGGAATAATGATAAAAGAAGTTGAGTTTTAAAGAAGAGATGACAATTCATATACTCGACAGTCGACCCCAACTTGTCAAACATATAAACAACAATAACAACAACAACATACACAATATAGGGTTGTACAAATCAAACCGAAAAATTGCACCAAACCGAAAAGTCAAACCAAAACGATTAAAAACCCCGATCAGATTTGATTTGATTTGGTTTGATATTGAGTAAAAAAAACTCAAACCAAACTATATATAAATATATAATTTTTATACATACTTTTAAGATTTTATATAGAATTTCCTTTAAAAATTGTCTATAAATATTTGAGATTCTCTTATGGGATATAATATTTAATAGAAAATAAAGTGCTCCATTTTTTATTAGCTTTAAATGATGTGTTGTATGATCACTTTCTTATCAAGTGTTATTGAAATGCGACAATCTATTTGTTCTTCCTTATTCATATGTCAAGATTTATTAAATTCTTATATCTTTTGTCGAATTTGAACCGGTATTTCGATAATTGAAAATTAAATAGAACATATCATTATTTAGGTATCATATTAATTTTTGTATTTGTTATTTAAATTTGGTTAACCTTGAAAGTGCACATCAACGAAAAATTATTGTCAACTAACTAAAAATTAACTGTCATGTGTTACTAAAATGATTCTCCCATAAGAATATTTTAATAGATAATATGTTTGTCAATTTTTTTTTTATTTTTATTAAACATATATTTACTTATCAAAAATTTAACAAAGTAAGATTGGCATAGTATTCATGTAACAAAAACCCCCGAAAAAATCCAGCAAAACCAAACTTATCCAAAACGATATAGTTGGTTTGGTTTGGTTTCAATAAAAACTGAATCAACCCGGTCCATGTACACCCCTATCCAGTATAATCCCATATAGTAGGTTTTGGGAGGGTAGTGTGTACGCAGAGCAGACCTTACCCCTTCCTTGTCAAACATATAGCAGACTTCAATTTGTTTCGGACTCGGAATAATCGTTATTGTGTTAGTAATTATAGCATCAAGTGATTAATATATTTGCACTAGCACACAAACCAGCAACAGGAAATGGACGAAGACTTTACTATCATTATTAGAAACTCACTACAGAAAAAAGGAAAAAAGACCAAGCCACCAAGGAACGAGACGTATGGTTAAGGATACACAGGCAACGCATGCAAAAGACTTGACAAGTCAATCATCACATACTTTTCTCTCAGATGGAAAATTCCCAAATAGAAAAGGTATGGCCTCGAAACAAACGTACTGACGGGGATTAAAAAAACAAAAATTGAATATGAGTTAAGACTAATTTCCAAGCAATTTTTATTGAGCTTATCATCATGAACAATCAAATTTTGGAATGACTTTGGCTTGACAATGTCGTCAAAGCACAAGGATCGCGCTGTCATAAGTAATTTTTATTGAGCTTATCGGGAACAGGGGTTCTGGCCATCAAATATGTCACTAACAAAATGACTTTAGCTTGCCAATCCTGTAGAAGGCCCTACAAATACCACAATTTAACAGTATTATTGCTTGACTAAAGACTTGTAAAACATTTCACCTAACATTCACGATTCAAGGTGGTCATACGTATTTACCCTTAAAATGACATTGACAGGACTCAATAAGGACAATGTCATTTATAGACTTATACGCGGTATTTTCTGAGAATCGACAGGACTCAATAATTTCCAAGTCTCCTATATTACTTTTCTTTTAAGAAATTAGTGGCCAGCTTTCTTAATTGGAGAACATTGACTTGACCTAGAGTAGCTGAAGTCTTTGGATTCTTCCAACTATAAACTGAACATAATAGCAATGCAATTTTGTGATAAATCAGAGGAAAAGAAAGAGAAGAAAAGCTAAAATCAATGGCTGTTTTGCTATGGTTATTATTCCTATCTGCATTTCATGCAGTAGCAGTAGCACAACAAAGAAACTTCAATATAACTCCTGGTTCTTCTCTAACACCTACTGCCAATTCGTCATGGTTTTCACCCTCAAGGCGTTTTGCCTTTGGGTTTTATGAGCAAACCAATGGCTATGCTGTTGGAATCTCCATCATCGGCATGTCTAAGAAGACAGCTGTGTGGACAGCAAACAGAGACAGTCCTGCTGTCCCAAGCAGCGCTGTCTTGCTCTTAACTACTGATGGAGGGCTCATTGTACAAGTAGGCCAAGAAATCACTGTCATAAATCCCTCTCAATCCATTGCTTCAGATTCCATGCTGGACACTGGTAACTTTGTGCTCTATAATTCTGCTCACAATATCATATGGCAAAGTTTTGACAACCCGACAAACGCCATTTTACCTGGTCAGCATCTCTCTGCTGGCCAAGAGCTGTTCTCCAGTGCCTCGGAAGAAGATGACTCGTTTGGGATTTTCCGTCTCAAAATGCAAAGGGATGGATACCTCGTTCAGTACCCTGTCCAGACACCAGACACCAGACACTGCCCCATATGCTTACTTCGAAAGACACATCGATGGAGTAGGGAATAATGTTACACTGAATCTTGACGATGATAGCCTCCTCTACTTAACAAATTCCACTCGCAGTCTCAAAAATCTAACCAAGGGAGGCCATCCTAGAGAAAGGACCATCTATTTGATGAAAATTGATGTTGACGGTATTCTTAGAGTCTATTCACATTCTCTGAGTCAACAGAACAGCTCTGCAATATGGTCATCAACAGATAATAGATGTGATCCAAAAGGCCTTTGTGGGCTTAACGGTTATTGTATCAATATAGATGATCAAGTTAACTGTGCGTGTCTTCCAGGATTTGATCTTGTAAAGCCAGGCAATTGGAGCGCAGGCTGTGAAAGAAATTTCACTGCAGAAACCTGTCGGTTAAAGGAGAAGACTTCTAAATACTATGCCATGAGATCAGTTGAGAACACAAGATGGAAAGATACCTCTTATGCTACTTTGGTCACAACAACAAAAGAAGATTGTGTACAAGCCTGTTTACAGGATTGTAATTGTGAGGCTGCTCTATTCAAAGATAGAGAGTGTAGAAAGCAGGGGCTGCCACTGAGATATGGAAGAAGAGACATGACTGATTCTAATCTAGCATTGGTCAAGGTGCGCATTAATGTGTTTGCAGACGAAGGGTTGTTTAACCAGGTTGAAGAAACAAAGGAGAAAAGCTAAGGATGGACACCCTAATTGCCGGCATTACATTGGCTGCTTTTGCTTTCTTGGTGTTGGGCATCTCCGGATTCCTCATTCACAGGAATCATGTCTGGACTAGAGTAGAAGTGTTCAGTTATGTGACGAAGTTGCTCCACGAGCATTTTCATATGCAGAACTAGAGAAGGCAACCAGTGGTTTCACAGAAGAGTTAGGAAGAGGAGCATTTGGGACAGTATTTAAAGGGATTTTGGCAGAAGACCAGAAAGTGGTAGCTGTTAAGAGACTAGACAAAGAATTGGTAGAAGGGGAAAAAGAGTTCCAAACTGAAATGAAAATCATTGGAAGAACACATCATCGAAATCTAGTCCGCCTCCTTGGTTACTGCCTAGATGGATCAAGAAGGCTTCTGGTGTATGAGTACATGAGCAATGGGTCACTCTCAGACATACTTTTTACACCAGAAAAACAACCCACGTGGGAGGAAAGGTGTGGCATCGCTCGAGATATTGCAAGGGGCCTCCTATATTTGCATGATGAGTGTGACACACAAATCATCAATTGTGATATAAAGCCTCAGAACATACTCATGGATGATCATTTTTGTGCTAAAATATCTGACTTTGGAATGGCCAAGCTCTTAAAGAAAGATCAAACAAGAACCTACACAGGGGTAAGAGGGACCAGAGGCTATGTCGCACCAGAATGGCACCGACAACTGCCAGTGACAGTGAAAGCAGATGTTTACAGTTTTGGTATCGTTCTATTGGAATTGATCTGTCGGCGGAAGTGTGTCGATTGGAGCCTTGCTGAAGATGAATCGATTCTTGAGTACTGGGTTTACAGCTGCTTTGAGGCAGGAGAGCTAGGAAAACTGGTCGGGGACGAGGAGGTTGAGAGAAGACAATTCGAGAGAATGGTGAAAATAAGCATCTGGTGCATTCAAGACGAACCATCACTTCGCCCTTCAATGAAGAAAGTTCTACTGATGCTAGAAGGGACAGTAGAAATTCCAGTGCCCCCTAGCCCTACTTCTTTTCTAAGTACCATATAGTTTTACATTTTCCTTTGTCACTTTTTAGTTTTTGAACTTTACCATAGAGTGAAGAGCAATTCATCATCTGTACTCTAACTAAATACAGAATAATTCTATTAAATTTTCTTAATTAAAAATAATTCTATCTAGTTTTTGAATAGTAGAACCACTATCTAACCACCAAGTATCTTTTGGTGCATCAACAAAATTAGCTTCTATGTAAATATAAGTAGACTCACTATCACCATTTTGCTTCTCTTTAAAAGCCTTAAACTTGAAGCAGTTTACCCTTCTTATCACAAAAATGGCTGTTCAAATCAATACCTCTTTGATTCTCATTGTCATTATCATTGATTAGCCCACTTTTACCCTTCTTTTGAAGCTCTGAGTCTTTGTCGGACATTGCCACTTTTTCTTCCCTTAAAATTTATTAGCGAAAGATTTACCCTGGGTATGTTAGCAGATTCTACTTTTTCAACAGTAGTAGACTCCCCTTTTTCTCTTTTCACTTTTGTTTCCTCAAATCACATTAGTTATTAACTCATTAACAGTCCATGGCTGACTGCTAATATTATAAGCCGTCCTCATCTGACTAAATTGAGACGGAAGCTGTAAAAGAGCTTCGTGAATGATGAAACTATCCGGAAGAGTCACATCTAAGTTCTTCAACTTGCTTTGGATAGAAACCATGCTCAAAATAAACTGGTGAACTCCCACTGTTTCATCATACTTTAAGTTTCTTAGCTCACCCATCAACCTTGAGGCTTCAGCATTATCAAAAACTTGAAAACACTTACCTACAGCCTTGAAATATTCTATGGTGCTGCTGTTTCCGGCAGAGACCCCAATAAATGCTCAGCAATTGACCTTTTTAAGGCCTTTAAACACAACCTATTGCATGTTTCCCATTTAGCATATTGATTTATCTCTTTCTTACTCCTTTCCTCAGTTGGTTTTGGCGGTGCATCCTTTAGGATAGCCATGTTCATTTCAACCAATTCAAAAGCAAACTTCACATCACGTTTTCACTTCTTATAATTTGATCCAGTCAGAATTTCAATTTCAGCAACATTATTGTTCTTTATAAAGGAGACTATAACAATAGTGTAAGAATACAATTTAACTAGTTAGGGCAATATGCACATTAATATATAATCCACCAAAAATTGTGAAATTAATTGTATGATTATTGACTCTACTTTGAGCAGAGAAAATAACATATAACAGCTCACCACATCATGGAGTTCAAAATATATAATAATGAGATACAATGAGTTTTTAGAAAAAAGTTATCCCCTTTAGGCAGACAAATTTTTCAAGTCATACATCTCCTAGGAGACATAATGATTTTAAAAATAATCCCTTTTGAGAGAATATTTTCTCAATCAAGTCTCAATTCCAAATACTCCACGAACAATCAAGTGTAGTTACTTAAAACATCTAACCTTGCGCTATGTTATTGTTTCTGAATCAGCACTTCAAACCCTAACTTCATGTTGCCCTCAGATCACGACGATATCATATCAATATTGTTTTGGGTTCAGTTGCATTCATGTCTAACATCTGGCTAACCTTATGTCTCTCAATATATTATGTTTGCCGAGTTGAGGAAGTTCATATTTCCTATGCACCAAAATTGTTAACTTTGGAATATCTGAACGGAGATAACGCGGGGTTTTACTTATAAGGTGGTGGAATAAATTCGCGTTCATTGAATATTAGTACTTGCCAGAATCTGAGAAGGGTAGAATTTAAGAGGCAACCATTAATGGCACAATTTTTCTCGATCTTATACCAAAATTACCTTTCGTCAAGGAGTTGATCTTACACTACTGTAAGCTTGAAAATTTTTATTAAAATCTTGAGTTCAACCCTCAAGTTTTGTAGCCTAGTATTAATTGCTTGGTCAATGCAAACCATTATTTTTTATATGCCAAAGTTACTCTCCTTATACTGTTCCTATCATAATAGAGGGAACCGTCTTTTTCATATTATGGATGGACTGAATCTTTCACGATTGAAATGCACTAGTGGCGGACAGGCGAAGGGTCCAAAGGACATGAAGCCAGGGCGAATCCAAAATCAAATTGTTCCATTTTCTTTTGTATCCATCAATCCAATCGGAACATAGCTCAGGAGAGTGTATTTATGTTTTTTTATGCAGGTCTTAACAAGAAATCAAGGAAAGTATTTATGTTTTTTTATGCTGCTTGGGAGACTAGTTTTTCAAGTTGGCTTGTAAATGTTACTAGGTCTTTGTGTGAATGAACAACAAAGTTGAATTATTACTAAAACGAATTATATAAAATATTACAGCTTTCAAATATATACCGACCAACTTTAACTAACGAAATGGGTAACCTTGTTTCCGAGTAGAATTAAAGACAAGACTCTAACATTCTTAGGATCCCACGGTACTAATTGCCACTTGGATTAATCTCCTTGGCAATTTAATAATTATCCTTTATTCATAAGATACATCAAGTGTTACTATATATTTAACTTATTTTTCACTTTTATTTTAGTTGGGATGATAACAGAAGTTGAGCTTAAAAGAAAAAGCAATGATTCATGTAATCGACCTCAACTTGTCAATCATATAGCTAATCTCAATTTACTTCGCTCTCGGACGTAATTGTTATTGTATTAGTATAATTGCACTAGCGCGCAAACCAGCAAAAGGAAATGAACGAAGACTCTACTATCATTATTAGAAACTCACTACAGAAAAAGGGAAAAAAGACCAAGTCAATAAAAAAACGTATGGTTAAGGAAATCATATACAGGCAACGCATGCAAAAGACTTGACAAGTCAATCATCACATACTTTTCTCTCAAGCTGGAAAATTTCCAAATAAAAAAGGTATGGCCTCTAAACAAATGTACTGAGGTGCATCAAAATACAAATGTTAATTATGGTCTATAATTTCCAAGCAATTTTTATTGAGCTTATCGTGAACAAGGTTTCGGCCCCTCAAATTTTGGAATGACTTTAGCTTTACATTGTCGTCAAAACAAGGAACAACTAGGCCCATAAAATTCCCCCAACATTTTTTTTAATAAAGATGGTGTCAGGTCATCTTGCATGCTACCCAAATAATTCCAGCAGGTGCCCATTTAGGGTTGAAGGTTGACAAATAGCCGGGAGCTTCTCCTAAGACTACCAGTAGTATTAGTACTATACTTGTATTTTCTTATTCCTGGTTTTTTATTATTACATATTTGTGTTGTTCGCTCTGTTACCCAGTTATACTGTCGCTAATATTGTTTGTTGCTTCATTCTCATTGTTCCTTGAGCCAAAGGTCTATCGAAAATAGCCTATCTATCTTTATAAGGCAGGGTAAAGTCTACGACAACACTACCCTCCCTAGACTCCACTTAGGAAATTACACTAGATTTTTTGTTGTAGTAAAGACTTGTGCAAAAGCTGGATGTTACATTCAATGAACCTTTCAAAAATTGCACCTTATATTCTTGGTGATCCCAGTTAGATGCCCTTAAATTGACGAGGCTTGATCGCGCCCAACTATGTCTTATAAAAAGGACACGCGGACGTTGCAAATATAATCTGAATATTTAGCCCAGAGTCGAACCCACAAGGAATTAACCTATCAATTACTATCATTAGACTTACTAAATTCTACGGAATCAACTTTTCAAACGTTCTGAATAACAATTGAGGATGTTTCTACTAAATAAGAATGAATGTAAATAAGCAACTGAAAACTAACTATGATTAAGTTGTAAACCATTAAGAGAAGGTTCTAAGGTTATAATTTTCCCTATTGATTGAATCCCTTCCAGTTATGCTTCACATAGATTTACCTAATCGTCTCTATCAATCATGAGCACTCTTATTACCTTAAATCTCTCCCGAGTAGTCACGATAATTTACTAGACACACTCTTCCGAGTTACGCTAGCTGACTTTGTTTATTACAGCTCACTTTAGATTGCACCCAAGGCTTCGTTATCCCTAATCCCGCCTTTAAACCCTCAGTTATTGATCCCTCATATACTTTGGGAGTGGTGTTGTTCAACAATTACCTAAATATGCACTCTTTCCCGAGTCATGCACACTAAATAGGCACATCTAATTGAGGATCCTATCAATTAACTACAACAAGAACATAGTTGAACAAATAGAGATTAAACTGGGCAAACTATATTAACATAACAAGAAGTTCATCCTTCAATAGGTTCCATCAAAACCTTAGACTAAATATTTAGCTACTCATACTAGTGTTCATCATAACAATATTCAAATTCATCACAAATAGTAAAAACAAAAAGAAGAAAGGAAGAACTCGATGTTGAATTATCCTCCTTGCAACTTGCCTTTCCTTGCCTTGAACTAAGCTATGAAAACCTTGATAATCCTTCCTTGGGCGAGCTGGACCTTCTATAGATTAAGTGTATTTACCCCCTAACTTCCAAGTTTACCCCTGAAGTTTAATTTTCCGGAACTGGGCTAGCGCAGTCACGCTAGTGGCCGCGCTAATGACCGCGCATATTGCCTATCATTCTGCCTCAACTTTCTGGGCTAGCGCGGTTGCGCTAGTGGCCGCGCTAGTGGCCGCGCTAGTCTAGGTCTTCATTTCATCTCTTCTTTCTCTCGTCTTCCCATGTACTCAGCTCCTAGGAGCTTTTCTTGCTTCAATTTAGCTCCAATCATAGTTTTAAGTCCTCATACATGCTACTCACTCTTGCAAATGTGAAATTCACAATTAGAACTAATTCATCATCATTTAACTACATTATGACAGTGAAACATAATCAAGCTGGGGTATAAACAGTCGCCAAATTACATAAATCTAGCCTATTATCAATACCCCACACTTAAATCATTACTAGTCCTCGAGCAATCCACCACACTCTATAGAGGTTCCTTCACTAAGCATTATTCCCTAACGCATTACACCAAGAACAAGTCACATAAGTTACGCCTAGTAGTGAACAATCTTCGCCTCAAAAGTCGACTCTCACGTGCCATGCAATATTCATACTTACTCAAATTACTCTACACAAAATTCAAGACTTTTCTTTCCTTCATGAATCACATGCCCTCACATCACACAAGAGAGTAGTTCCACATATAATGATATTTAGAACAATTAGGAATTTAGATAGACAAAATTCG